GTGAAAATCGCAGATCTCTATTTAGTTCCTATCAAAAATTATTCTAAAAATACTCACCCTTCTTTTATTTTTGAAATGAATATTAGTGTATTTTTATTGACTTGCTTTATCAGAGTTTTCTATTCTATAGCTACTGTTGTTGTCTGTTTGGTATCACAGAATCGTAATAAATATTAATATTTGAGTATTTACTCAGAAATAGTGCTTTCTTCTTTACATGTGTCATTTCTGTAGGTAGAGAAACTGTGAAATAACCAATATTGCAATCTGATCTTAGTCACTTTTTACTTCTTCTAGGTTTAAGATTTGTTATATGACACAAGGCATTAAATTTAGCATATATAAAGCAGCATCTTTGTATAAGAAACTATTAGTTGTTCTATCATACAAAAACTCACTTTACGTGAATTGAGAAGGTGAGATATTGGGTAAGCACCAATTATTGCAGCTAAAAAATGTTTTTTTGGATACTATCTAAAAGGTAATTCATAACTTTTCGTACTTTCAAAAAAATATTCAATGAGATCACAAAATATCTCTTTAGTAGGATCTATTCTCTATAAAAACAAAGCGTCAGACTGAATCTCCCAGGCCAAAGACGTACGGTCGGATACGGTGAATTTCCGGCGAATGGTGGAAGCAGTATTCCACAAATGGATCCAGTCTCCGGTTCTGAAACAGTTCCTGTCAATTCCTGGCTCCGAATACGATGTAGGGGATTTGGTCACCGTTTCTGATACGGTTCCTGACTAAGGTTCCTATGCTTTTTCCCGAGAATAGGGTGCCGCCCATATTTCTGCCGTTTTCCAATCCAGTTCTGAAGCTCGTATACGACAGCTTCCAATTCGACTTTAGCACTCGAAACCGATAAACGGATACGATAGGATACATCCCGAATCATGTTCTACCCATTTACATAATGCCAATAATTTTCAACTGAAGAATCGATGATTCTTGCGAAGAGTAAAAATATTAAAAAGTTGCGAAAAATCAGATTGACGATGATTTTCGAGAAAGAACAAAAAAAGTTGAATAAATACATAATCTTTTAATAAAATGCAACGCAATAACTAATTTTAATCAATATTATGTGTAATCTGTGACAGTCCCGGTTGAGCTTGTTATGTATTATCATTACATAATGTCACTGTTGTTTGGGTTGATTGTTTCTATAGACTGTTCTAACATTATTATAGCATCAGTCGTTACCTCATATTTTATATAAGGATATCTATCACTCATCGTGTTCAATGTAACCTTATATGTTATATAAGGGTTACATCACTGAGTCTATTGTATGCTTCTGCTCTCGTTTGTTTATGCTCAGTGATTGTTCTCTTTCTTTTCTTATTATGGGATATTTTCTCTTTCTCTCTCCCACTCGCTATATAAAGAGTGGACAAGGTGGAAGATGGGACATTCTTTTGAATAATAAACTCAAGAATTGTTACATAATCCATCATAATTGATTTTTCATATAGAATCTAAGCAACCAGATATCAGTTTTTTATCAAAAATCGACTTCAATCCTTCTAATCAATTAAAATCTGAGGGTGTGGGTGTCGATGGCATGAAGACTCACACCCACACCCTTCTATGAAAAAAATTTTGAAGTAGATTTCTGTGGGATTTTCTAGAAAACCAGGGTTTTCTAGAGACTTGCATCCTGGTACATTATGACCCCTGTCAAATTGTGTCCGATTTGGCTGAAAATTTTTTCGGAGATGCCTAAGACTATTTCGCAGAAGTAAATTCAAGCTTTTCCAAAAGTTTCACTTTCTTTTTTTTATACGAGAAATACGCAAAGATCCAGAGCCAACACCTGGGTCTTGGCTTTGAAGATCCTATAATTTCGGGTAGGAAAGTCAAAAACGAAAATGGTCGATTTTATCCCTGAAGGACACTTGCAAGTATCTGTGGTAAAAATTACAGCCAGATCCAACAAAGTTTGAGGGGAATCATAAGCAGCCAAGATTCAGAAAATTAGGGTTATGCGCTACGCTGTAACAGAAAAGAAGATCAATAGGATTACTATGAAAAAAAAGTTTCTCCAATTCAGTAACTCTGTAACAGTAAGTTGTTTAGAGTCCAATGATGTTTCTAATTGCACATAACACTTGGGAGTATCCTGCCTTATGGATAGTTAATGATCGAGTTTTTGGTCGAAAAAGAGGGGGGTATCCTTCACATGCTATACATGAGTTTAGTGAGATCAAGCTTTATAGATCTTTCCGCTGCTTGAGACATCTACTCAATCAAACATCCTCTTATCACTGATCTCGGTGATGCAATCAAGACCGTTGCTTTTCTAATAAGAAGTGTTCGATACAAGACTTTCGATGAGTGCCTTGAAACAAATTGACTGCGTTTATATAGTAATGCTTCTTGATTGAAAAAACATGCTGTAGTAGTGAATCGATTATGTCTAAGTTGATGAGTTTTGTCTGAAAATGTGGATAGTTTTGATATGACTCAAGAATAACTGAAAGTTAGAAAAACTTGCGTAACAGCTCCTGTCCAGATTCAGAATGAATTGCTTTTTAAAAAATGAGAAGATTTCAGAAAAAAAAATTGACCTCTTCGTCCAGATCATTCTACCGCGGAACGCGATAAAAAATTTTAGAGATGGAATGACACAAGATGCATAGTAGGGGAATGTGGCACAAGACGACTTTTTGTCTGTTCTCGCAAGTTCTGGTAGATATTGTACTCATGACAAGGTAGGCTACTTCGCATTGCTTAGCAAGGAATGCAAAGTTACCAGTCCTATAAAAAAGACTGTAATCAACAACTACAACAACTGCTATGCGATATATAAGAAAGAAATGCAATCTGTTTTCTCTTGACATACTATGTTTTTATGCTATTCAATAGTACACGCTCTTTTGAAAAATAAATGATAGCTCAAAAGCGTTTCGTTATTTTGTTAGAAACTTCATCAAACAGTGATTTTCATTACTCATTTTAAAGTTTTAAGACATGTTAAAAGATAGAACCAACAATTTCATTCATGTTATCTAATGAGACTCAGCAAGATCAAAATAATGATCGTGGAAACTATATGTTGCTTCATTCTCACGA